TTGCTTATCACCCATATGGGGTTGGCCTGTCTGCTTCTCCTCGCCGCTTACAAATGGCGCCCGAACAGGGACGCGGACTACAGGGCCCTGGTCGCTGGGGACCCGGTTTACAGGGCCTCGACTAGCGAGGACCCGGGATACAGGGTCCCGGTCAGTGGGGACCTGGATTACAGGGCCCCGACTAGCGGGGAGCCGGATGACAGGGCCCCGGTCGACGGGGACCCGGATTACAGGCTCCCCACTAGCGGGGACCCAGAATACAGGGCCCCGACTAGCGGGGACTGGGAATACAGGGCCCCGACTAGCGGGGACCTGGATACAGGGCCCCGACTAGCGGGGACCCGCGATACAGGGCCCCGACTAGCGGGGACCTGGATACAGGGCCCCGACTAGCGGGGACCCGGAATACAGGGCCCCGGTTTAACGGGGACCCGGATACAGGGCCCCGGTCGACGGGGACCCGGGATACAGAGCCCCAACTAGCGGGGACCTGGATACAGGGCCCCGGTCGACGGGGACCCGGAACGGCGAGTGAGCGGCGCCGGCTGCAGCGGCCGGGAAGCGCGGGCAATGCTGCTGCGGTGGCGTGATGGACCCGGGTGCTTGGACCAACCGAAAGAAATCCGCCGCTGGGGCGAACCAGACACTGCTGCATCGGGAGGCCGATCCGGAGACCGAGGTTACAGGACGACCCAGAAGAAGACGATCCGGAAAAGGCTGGCCATGAAAATGGACCGAGAGGTAGCCCTGGACTTATTACAGTGCTTTTTATAAAAGCGGGGAACTGAGCCCTGAACGTTTTGCAGTGCTTTTTATAAAAGCGGGGAATTGAGCCTGAGACTCTAAAGCAGCTAGCAGGTCTACTGGCTGTAGGGAAGGCTAAGGGAGTTTTTTTGCAGATCCTTATACAATATTTGAGGAGAGTGAGTGGCGAAAGTTTGGTGATGAACTATTTGACTCAGTGCTTAATGATTATAAATAGGCAAAGAAACTCGGTAAACCACGGAGGGAAGTAATGAACTGTATAAAAAGATACAAGGCAGAAAAGAAAACTGCCGCGGTAGCAACGGAGAAACTAGGAACAGACGTCCCCGGTCGGTTGAAACCGGGGGAAGATTACAACTCGTTTCCCCCAACTCGCGCGAGCACAGGGTTCCCCCCCCCCCCCCCCCTTTTCTTCCCCCCTTTTCTCCCCCTCCATCAGAAGGTGCCGCAGAGGAGATGTAACCCCCTGCTTCCCCACCACCCCAGTTCCGAAAGTAGGGACTTTGAAAAGGACAGAGAAAGTATATTAGAAGGGATACGTATGATAAAAGTCGAGGAATCCGAAAGAAAGAGGGCGGTGCCTCGGCGCCGGATCGATTGCGGCGCCACTGTGAAGCCCGCAGTAGAAAATAGGGATCATGCGCGAGCGGGAGATTTAAAGGAACCGCGAGCCTTTCCAACCCACTATGCCCTAGAGTGAAAAAAAATTTAACTCAGTCACGGAGGAGCCAGGTCTGCAGATGGCCACATACCGAACGAGAGACATCTGATAAGAAAGACACAGCTGCGAGCAGCGGAGACCCCGAGTTCAGCGCAGGATCAGCCCCCGAATCCCCTGAATCCGAGCCAGATCTATATCCTCTGCTTCCAGACCCTGACTCTTCATCTCCCGGGTCGGTCTGCTCAGACTTACTGGCCCTGGAGACGCTCAGCTGTAACAATGGGTAACCAAAGATGCGAACATCACTGGGGAATTTTCTGCAATGGGCATCTTTGCATATCCTGTGTTTACTACACAGCAGGGGGCTAAAGAGTGGGAAGCTCTTGATCTCAAAATAGTTAAGGAGGCCTGACAAACAGTGACCACGTATGCGTTAAAATCCTCTTATACTCAAGCTGTATACGTTATGATTTTTTCCTTGCAATTGACAGGGGGAGCCCATACAGTTTCTCTGTGATACTCATGTACTAGAAGTTGGTAAATATAAGTATGTCCAGGTTTCTATCAACCCTTGGAGACCTCTGTAGATACTGCTGGCCACTTCTTCCAGCACAGGCAGGCTACCTGTGTCGGAATGAGTGTGCATTTTGGTCAGTATAAAAGCCCAAGCCTCATACGATGTGGGGGAGGCAGAGCCTCTGCGGGGACGCCCGCTAAGGTTGAGCCTGCCACCTCGCACTGCAGTGATGCTTCTCGGAGCTGGTTTGCTGTTAGTCTCCACAGGGTCCTTGTGCCACGTTCTGCACGTGGGACTGTAGTGGGAAAAAAAAAGGGGGGGGGGGGGGGAGAGAGTAATGATGTTACATTTAACTTTAACCTGTCTAACCTGTCTACTTCTGAAGAACTGATAACCTGGGGGAGGGGGTATATTTGTGTCCTCCTGCCTACAGGTCCATGGTGAATGCCTGCAAAGTTTGTCAAGCCTTCCCATGAGCTGGACAGACGAATGGAAAAACCTGATGCCTCAGCTACAGGAGCTGACCCTGATTACCCCAAGCAGAATGAGATAGAGGAAGAGAAAGAACAAATAACTGCAAAACATCACTTGGGGGCAACTGAAAAGTAACATCCTGAATATGTGTGCTTGTAAAGTAGCTATTATTAGAGGTTGTGATTTTGTGTATAAAACCACCTGTATTTACTAGCTAGTTGCTAGTAAGAAACTGCACCTTGTATTGTATAGATTGGTCACTTGTAAAAGAGTTGTTAGAGTATGGAAATTTGCAGTAGCTGCTAGAAAATGCTAAGGCAAAAGCTAGAAAAATTTTAATACAATGGTAGTGTTATAAAGCAGGTGATGGAACAAATTAAGAGGGGGGAGAATTCCACTGGTAAGAAATTTCTTTGGGTGGTCCCTCGCTGTCATCAGCATCTTCAACTGCTGCTGCACCCTGTAATAGTTACTCTGCTAATGTAAATGTGTGTGTGCCTTGCTGTAGTAGCGACTTGTCACTGGATAAAGCAGGTGAAACTGTGCCTTGACAGCAAGGTGCAAGGACTGAGGCTGACCAAATGCCTGCTACCACAATCAAGGGCAAGACTGGGTTGGCTTCTGTGTTTGCCACCAAGAAGAACCTTTAGCTCCGCTGCTGGCTGCAACCCAGCAGGCGTGGAGCGGTGGGGACACACGTCATGCCAGACCTTGATGTGAAGGAACAGAGAGCTATACAGCCTGTTCCCGGAGAGCCATACAGCAGAAAAAAAGGGCAGGACCAGGCAGTCTCTGGTTGGCATATGTTGGAGACATAATCTAGCCCAGATCCCCTGCTCAAGTAGGGTCACCCAAACCATATATAGAACATAAAGGGGGAAGATGCGGAGACAGTGTTCTCACGGGAGAATGCATAACTGGTACATAAACTTTGAATAGTCCTGAAAGATACAGCAAGGCCATGAGAGGCCTGAAGAAGCTTAAGCAAGCAAGATAAGAGGCTGGAATTCACCAAGTTAATGAGAACTGTGGACTGTTGGCAAGCTTTCAAGGTTGAGTTCTCACACCTGTGTTTAACCAATTATATGTTAGTCACTAAGGGTCTTCAAAACATGTATCCAATCATAATATGCCAAATCACTGTAAGTGCTTCAGCCGGGCCTTGGCTCAACTAAGCAGACTGGGTTGCTGAGTTGCTAAGCAAATCCTACATCGAAGGCAATTTATGATTTGTTTTAACGTTGACTCTGTAAGACATGCAACACTGCAGAACCTTTTGTTGTTGGAACAGGGACATGGATGTGAAAAGTTTGTTGGAATGTGTTGTATGAGTCTCTGATTATGCTAATTCGATGCACGCACAGCTGAGAACCCTGGCTCAGCTTACCCAGCAATAGTAAATGAGCAATATCCTAAGAATAACTAGATGGTTGTCTTCACGGGGCATTACAGGTTGAGTCAAACACTGTTTAAAAGTATTGCACTTATGTATCATTGATTGGGTTAATCATAATAGCTATTAGACATGTTTATAGTTGTGTGATAAAACAGGTGAACAGAATAACCCATAATGCCTTGCTTGCACAAAGAAAAAGGGGGGAATTGCTGCAGAATGACTCTAAGAGCAGGACCATAGAGTTCCAGGCCAGAGAGTGCCAGTGGAGCGCAGCAGCTTGGTGGGCACAGGTGCTTGTATGTGGGGTGGCCAGGGGCTGCTCCTGCAGTGACACGTGGCCACAGGCCAGGGATGCTGCCGAGCCCTCCTTGTGTGTGATGGGGAGTTTCCGAGCCAGGGTTCCACACTCAGCCCACACAGGTGCTTGGGTGAACATGAAGAATTATTTATTGGCTGCTGGGCCCACAGGGTGCTAGGGCTTCAGCGGGGGACGCCCAGTCGTGCGTGGCTCCTGGGGTTTGAGTTTGACGGAAGGGGGCAGGAGGGGCTGGACGAGCCGCGGTGCCTGGGGAAGGCTGCCCTGGGTCGGGTTCCTCCTGCCTGTACCCTCCTTGCCCTTGAGCACAGGCTGCTGCTTGTCCTGCCGGCGGCTGGTGTTGCCCAGCAGCTCGGTTGCATTGTCACTATCCTGCTGGGAAGGAGAGAGGGGTCTGGCTAAAGCACGGGGCAGTATTGATCATTCCCAAGCAACCCTCCACACGCAGCCCTCCTGGGGAAACTGAGGCACGAATCCCCCCCCATCCCAAATACTCAGCATCACACTCCCAGCCTCATTTGCCCCCTCCAGATCCCTTCCTTCTTCATCCCTACCTTCCTGTGGAGCACAGCGGACGGCCTGAGAGTCCGTGGGGTGCTGGGTAAGACAGGCTGGGGAGCAGTGTTCTGGTCCCCGCACTGCCACGGCACGCTGGGGTTCCAGCAGCGAGCCGCCTGCTCCCTGCAGGATGGGAAATAGGGGGACTCAGCACCCAGCACTGTGGTCTGCCAGGGTGGGGGACAGGGCGTATGTGGGCAGCCTGCCCAGGCACCCACAGAGCCTTCTATCCCCACCCAGGGAAGAGCTCTCCCGCCAGGGCAGGGCCACCCTGCACCCTGGCAGGGGATGGGTCCCAAGTCCCCTACCTCTTGCTTTCCCCTGGTTTGAGGGAACGAGGAATTTTCTCAGTGACGCGGGAGGTCAGCCGTGGCGCGGGTGGGATGGGCACGACGGGCCTGTGGAAACCAAGAGCCACCGGTGGGTGACAGGGGACAAATGATCCAGCCCGCCTCAAGGCAGTGCCCCAAAATCCACGGGCTTTCACCCTATGGCATCCCCCTGCCCACTGCCCTCAGGGAAGGGTCCCCATCCCCCCACTCGTGGGCAGAGCATTAGAGGGGTCTCAGCAGGGTCAACCCCCCCACACTGACTCCCAGAACCCTGTGCCTGTCAGGCGGAGCTCTCAGCATCCGTCTCCTCCCGTGCCACCCGTGCAGCCCCTCGATGCTCCAGGGACAGGTGCTACTTACGAGGCAGGCACCCTCACGTTGAGCTGCCGGTCACAGGACAGGCGCCGGGAATTGGCACTGGAAGGCTGCCTGGGCAGGGGAGGAAAGGGGTGGGTGAGCTGGGAAACGTGGGTTTCAGCCCGGTTTGTAGCCTAGCACCCAAGCAAGGTCCCAACCCCCTGGCTGCTTACAGAAGAATGGCGGGAGGATGAGGGAGAGCAGTTGGAGGTTGGCTCCAAAAACCACCACCATCAGTGCGAACTACTGCCATGGGCACCCAGAGCACCATAGGAACCGGGGGTGCTGGCAAGGCCAAAGTGGCAATGGGGCGAGTGCTGTCTCTGAAGCCACCACTGTCCCCATCACACTCACGTCTTAATGCCAGCCGCATTGTTAGCCTCTCTCGGCGGTGCCTTCTCCGTGACCTGCTCCAGACTTCTCTTCCACTGCTCCTCCAGCTGCTGCTGGAAAGGCCCCAGCTCCTTGCGGTCCAGCTGCAGGCACACACACTCCCCTCAGCCAGCGGCCCCAGCTTGGGGCACTGCGGCGCCCAGAGAAAAGCCAGGAGCAGGAATCCTCAGAGGGATACAGCCTTGGGCCTCCAAGCCCCAGAGGTGCCAGTTTGGCTCGGGGGGGTTGGGCCACCCCTCACCTTGGAGGCCATCTCTTCCCGCAGCTGATGACGGACTTGCTGCAGCTCCTGCTCCTGGGCCTTCAAGCGGCTCAGCACCTCCTGGTCCTGATGCAGGGAGGAAGACGACAGGGTAGTGCCATGCAAGGGGGGGGTGCCTGTCCCTTGGGAACAGACCCGGCTTAATGGGCAAGTGACCACGGGCTCTCAGTGCCAGCAGGACATCTACAGCACAGCTGCAATTTCCCTCCATGCTGCTGACTCGTACAACCCTATCTGGGGGGAGGAGCAAGGGGCTCTCCCCACATTTCACAGAAGCACAACCAGCTGCGGGGCAGGGGAGGTCCCAGCAGCCTCTTCCGAAGCCCCCCATGCCACCATCTCCATCAGCTCCTGCTTCAGCTTCTGAAGCGCGGACGTGAGCTGGGAGCAGTGGTGGGGCAGAGTCAGGGCATGGTGCCAGTGTCTTCCCAGACCAGGGGCTCTTCTTCTGCCCCTCCCTGCCCAAACCCCCAAGCATCCCCACGTGCCCCCTGGGGACTGCCACCGGCTCACCTTCCACACCTTCTGCTTTAAGTCACTTGCCAGGCCCTGCAGGGAGGACGCCTGGCCACGGAGCTCCTCAAGCTTGATGGCGATGCTCTCCTGGCCTGCAAGAACATGGGCCAAGGGGACACACTGTCAGTGAGGGGGTCTCACCTTCAAGGCCAGGCTCTGAGGGCAACGAGCCCCCGACCCAGGCTCTCAAACATCCCACCAGACCTCACAGCTCCCACCTTCCTCCTGCTGGTGCAGCAGCTCGGACCGCAGCATCTCCAGCTCAGCGCGGTCCGACTTGGTGGCTTGCAGCTGCGCCGCCTGCTTCTTTAGCAGATCATAGAGGCTGTGAAGAGTCTTGAACTCAGCCTCCATCATCGAGGAGGTGGAGGAACTGCTGGAGCCGGAGGATTCTGACGATCCACACGCCTCTTGCAGCTGGCCCATGGCCCTGGGATGCACACTGGAGCTAGGGGCTATTGGCTGCGTCCCTGCTCCCTGGAGGTCTGCCCAGGAAACCCTTTTTCTGGAACGCATCCCTGGGCTGCGGGTCTTGCTGGAAACAAGACAAGACTTTCTCCGTGGAGCCTTGGCCGCGGCGACAGCAGCTCCAACTTCTTTCTTTGATCTCCAGGCAGGGGTGGCAGCAAGAGAAGGCTTTCTCCATACAGCCCTGTCCTCACGGTCAGCAGCTCCAGCCCATCTCCATGAGATGTTGGGCGGAACACTGCGACTTGCAGACCTGCTGGTTGAGCTGGTGCTCTGAGCAGTAGGGGCTGCACGCTCTGTCCCTGGTTCCTTGGGACGCAGTGCTGAGCTTGCCCTGTGCAGGGTGTCCATGTCCAAAGTGGAGGACTTGGTGAGGGCAGACCGGGCTCTGTAGTCCTCCTGGGAAGAGGCGGCAAAGGGGAGCAGGTTTGTGGACAGAAGTGCAGCAGCAAGGGCAGAGCCAGGGCTCCCCGCACGGTCCCCAGCTCTGTCCCCAGCCGCCCCGGGCTGAACTCACACACTTTCACACTTCCGGCTCAGAGCCCCCTTCCCACTCCTCCCTCGCTGGGTGGCGCCCAGGGTGATGGACACAGGGTTACGCAGGGAGGAAACGATGGGCACAGGGACCCCAGCAGCAGCTCAGCAAGCCAAGCCCCTTCCCGACTGCCTCGTTCATGCCACCGATCCCCTCCGGGAGAGGCTGGGACAGAGCCATGTCCTAGGAGAGGAGGGCGGCGGGGGTTGAGCCCCAGGGGAGGGCCCCTGCAGACCAGGAGCTGGTTCTCCAGGCCTGCCCCTTGGGACACCCGGGAAAAGCCTGTGCCTGAGCAGCTCAGTGCCGTGCAGGGTGAGGCCCCTCTCCAGTACCCCGCAGTGCCGGGTTTAGCCCTGGGGCGAGCCAAGGAGACTGGGGGTGGAGATGAGGCCCATGAGGTGCTGACGGTGCCTCTCAGGTGCCTGAGGAGTGGACACGGCTCCCACCCATGTGTCAGGAGTGGGGAAGACAGGGATGGAGAGGATGGTGGGGCCAGAGCTCCAGGGCTGTGGAGCCCATGGGACTTGGGAGAGCCCCTACCTCAGAGCTGCTGCTGTCCATGTCTTCCATCTCCTCCAGCTGCCCCACACCGGCAGCCCTGGTGTAAAGTCGGGAGTTGCCAGCGGTGCCCTGCAGCAGGGCTGTCCTGGGCTGCCACCCGCCTGGCTCCAGGCGCTGCTGCCTCACATGCCGGGCCTGGGCCCTGACCCCCTGGGCAGCCTGCCCCCAGTCTGGGACAGGCAGGTCCCCAAGGCCCGTGAGCTCCAGCACAGCCCGCAGTAGGATTCGCAGCTGCATGATATTCACGCGTCCCCCGTTGGAGGTGCTGATGGCAGCGTCCAGCAGCTGAAATAGGCTGAGCGTTGCCATCGCTGCTGCGGTGTTCCACAACGGGAGTCTGACCTGGGGGCAGTAGAGACAGCGGGCAGCCGGCGGCCTTCCTCCTGCCCCTCCGCACCTGCAGCAGTGACTGAGACCACCCTGCCCCCTGCCCGCTATTTATTGGCCACAGCCCGCTGCTCCTCGAAGCCCATTGGCCGAGTCCATTGTCCGTTTCCGGGCGACGCCCCGTTGCCATCCCGCAGCTCCAGCGCATCGCCTCGTGTCCCGGGCACACTGGCAGACGCACGAAGCCTGTGTTCCCTTTCCTTGGAGTCGCCGTTCCATTTCCATCCGCAGCCTTTGCCATCCCTCGCAGCTTTCTTCCTCTTTGTCCAAACCAAACGCGCTGGCAGTGCAAACACGAAGCCCAGAGCGACAACATTTGATTTACGCCTCTAAGATTACACGAGGTGACTTGGATTCAAACAGCCCGTCTTCATTCATTCTCATGACCTTGGCATGTCAATCCAGCAGGAATTTCAGGGTTGTTTCGTAACCCTCTGGGAAAACCTGCTGCACTTGCAGCCCCTTTCCTGCAGAGCAAGATGCTGTCCTGAGAGCACAAAGGAAAACAGTCAGTGTAGCAAGGAACAGGAGGGAAGGATGCACTTGATGTCATAATGATCTTAGATCTTAGTTGGTTGATGTGGTTGGAGGAGCCAACAGAGGGTGAGGACCAGAGGTAATTGTTTTCTCACTCCTTGGCAGGGACGGCTGAGTTAGAGACATGCTCTGCAGGCTACTCAAGCCTAAAGTAGCTGTTAACACTAGAGAATCGACAGTGTGAAAACGAGCTCATGCTGAACGAGCCATGGGCTAGATGCAAATTTGGGGTGCTTAAGAAGTGAAGTCAAAAGCTTTTTGTGCAGGCGACTCTCTCCGAGTCAGACCTCCTGCTAGACCAAGAGCTAGCTCGTGGATGCAATGGAGCAAGTCAGAAGGCACCATATGCCTGCTCTGGGCTTACTCTTTCCCTTTGTGATGCAGCCTTACCCCTTAACACTCCCCGTTCAACCCGAGTAGATGACCTCAGAGAGTTGAGTACAACCCAAAAGGACCAGTGACACTTCCTTTGGGGCTTGGTTTTCTGCTTTATGGCGCTTATGGAAACACCACTTTGTGGCACGTGGCCATTGCCAATAGGATACATGAGAAAACACTAAATTCCAATGTTATGGATGCAGAGCTCAATGCTTGTTTTCACTATGACTTCCTAGACAGATATTCCTGTGTCCATACTAAGCAAGTGGGGACATTTGAAATGCGTCTTTCCAGGAGTATGTGAACAAGAGGCAGTGAGTCACAAACTGCGGTGAGCTAAACTCAGCATTCCCTTTGTTCTGTGTGCTTCTGCACCAACATGGCTTTGAAAGTGTTGTATATGGGCAGCACCCATCTTTCCGAGTAGGGAACAGGGAGGGCTGATGGGTCTGCAGGTCTAACTGGAGCAGGGTGAGACAATGAACCACAACAATGGGCTAATTCTTCACTGACGAACAAAGATCTTCCTCACACAGAAGCAGGCAGGAACCCATCAAGGAAATGCAGAAACCTGCATGCAGCCAGGTCAGACCTCAGCTCAGCTGCCTCTTTGATGCCTTTCCTATGACAAAGGTATTGCCATAGGACACCAAATTCACAGTGAGGATCCAC